CCTCCCTGTCCCACGTTCTCCAGGGCAGAGGCTCCCACCGGGGCCACGTAGGGCAGTGGCTCCCTCTGGGGCAGAGAGGGAGAAGCCCTGCAGCTGCCTACACCTGCAGCCCTACCCCTGCCTGGCTTCTCCCTCCCCCAGTCACCCCATGCTCTGCCCTGGGGGAGCCCGTGTAAGGGTATGATCAGCTGACCCCTGACCCCCTGCTGGCCCCAGAATTTAAAGTCACCAGCCAACTCCTCGCTCTCCTGAAATGGGGTTCTCCAAACACAAGAATGCCACGCCAGCCTCCCATTGAGACCCAGCGCCGGAGACCAGGGGAGGTGACTGCAGGGATTGTGGGTTGGGGCCACAACAACAAATCTCAGCTGGTTTGTTACCCCAGGGGCAGGCAGGTGAATGCTCAGCACCATGAAATAAGGGGTGTGGCCGGTTGTGCAGCCTGAGAGTCCACAGCTCCAGGGGTCTCTACTGTCCCCTGGCAAAGGGTAACCCAAAGCATTGCTCTTACCCCAGTTACAATGGGGCTTTATACAGACAGCTGCCCCTCCCTCTCTTATTGTCTGCCCTACCATAGTGTGTTGTCATAGGCATGGGCAGCCAATCAGTGGCAAGCAGATTTGCATGAAGGGCCATTCCCCAGTGCTGGTGTTTTAAGGGGGAATCGGAGGCTCCCAGCCACAGACCCGTTTGCCTCAGGGAGCCGAGCTTGTCTGGATCCACCATGGCCTGGGCCCCCCTGCTCCTCACCCTGTTCACCTACTGCTCGGGTGCGGTAACCCAAAAAGATTTTAATCCAATAATAATTTCCCTTCCCCAGCTGCCTGTGCTGGCTGCCTGCAGAGTGAGCTCTCTCTCCGCACAGCAATGAAACAGCAAATTGATCCCTCTGTTTTCTCCTCTTTTCCCAGGTTCTCTGGCCCAGTACGTGCTGACTCAGCCGCCCTCAGTGTCTGTGTCTCCAGGGCAAAACGCTCAACTCACCTGCTCAGGGAACAACATTGGTAGCAAGAGTGTGCAGTGGTACCAACAGAAACCTGGCAACGCCCCCCTACTTGTGATATATGGTAGTAACAGCAGACCCTCCGGAATCCCTGAGCGATTCTCTGGTGCCAAGTCTGGGAACACGGCCACGTTAACCATCACTGGGGTCCAGGCGCAGGACGAGGCTGATTATTACTGTCAGGTGTGGGATAGTGGTGCTCCTCACAGTGACCCAACCCGATGAGGAAGTGAGACAAAAACCTCCTCATTAAGAAAAGCCTCTGAACATTCTTTCTTGTGATGGGAGGTGGGCTAACAGTTCAGAGGTGGGGAGGGGCCTGCGTATTTCACCTCCCAGACACTCTTCAAAACAATGATTCTGCTAATGGTGCCCTTAGAATGGCAGAATTCACATCCCCTTGGCCATGAAACATTTCTGTATCCCCATGGGTCCCAGGGAATTACAAAGATCAGGTGGTAAACTCTGTGTCGCTCCAAAGCTCATCTCCTTCCAAGAGAAGATGGTGCAGTAAAAGTGATTGCCTCACCTCACAGGCACTTTTAAAGTCAAATGCAGGTTTCTTTGTGAGTTGCATGGAATGCAACAGTTTATCACTGGGCTACATACTTTCCCTGAGTGACTGTGCACTCTGTCCGTGATAATCTGTTGGGTATTGTGGACGATGAGCATGAAAGAGCTTCTAGTGCATGTCTGGAATTTCAGACAGAGCTGAGGACTCAAATGTTCTCACTGCCTGACTCTCCTGGAAACACCGTAAAAACACTGTGAACACGGGGACAAGCTTCAAAGAGGACAATGAACACTAGTCCCAGCAGAACTTCAGGAGTTCTCCAGGGCACAGTAGTTGCCTCTTAGATTCTGAGAAAAACCAGGGCACTGCTGCAGACCCTCTTTCTAACTGTGGGTACCAGGGCGTACCCAGTAAAACTGTATGCTTAGCTATCTGTGGGGATCCCAAGGAGAGGATGCTGTCATTGTGCTCTGGGGTACAGCAGTGGACACAAGAAAAAATCTTCCCCTTTGGTCCTGCAGCCTGTACTCTGCTGGGAAGTTCATGACTTGCTGTTTGGTTTCTGTCCTTATGAGGATTCAAAGATAACTGAACTGGGCTGGAACGTCACCCCAGTATTTTTCTCCTGAGGAAACCTGTCTGTGCACAGTATGGTTTTTAATGTAGTACACGCACATTCTCTAGCCCTTCTTCAGAGTTCAGAAGAAAACTGTGTGTATGTGACTGGGTACATTGTTTCCTGAGACTGTGAGCAACAGCCTGCAAAAGCCTGCTCAAGAACGTGTAAATTATCACATTCATCACAATGGCCCCTGAACTCTGAAACCCAACAAACAAGTATAATCAGATGGAGAAGGCAGGTGTCATTCAAAGATGTCACTAGGCAGTGTATATAAATAACAGTGTTGTATTTACAAGATTAGGTCCCTTCATTCTCCTTTGTGCTCTTTATGTCTGGCCAGGAAGCAAAGTTATCAATAGCTGGAATGTTGGTTTCTCCTACTCTCCTGCTCTCTGCAATTTCTGCCAATTCTCTGAAGCCCTGCAGTGTGCACAGTACTGAATGTAACCAGATTCCCTACAACCATTGCAGAGGATTGCAGCACCACTACAGTGACTGGCCACCCGGGTGACTCCTAGGCACTGCTGGACATACAGGCTTTAAAACCCAGTCGATTTTGAATCCCCATGAAAGTGCCTCTCTGTCTGTGCACAGCTGTGGCTGCAGGGGTGAGCAGATTCACTATACTACACATTCCTGAGTCTCAGGACAGAGGGTGGTACTGTGGGGAATTTCCACTGTTGGTATTTGCTGCTCTGGCCGTGGTTGGTCCTGCAGACCATGAGTCACAGAGCAAGACCCCGCTCTTCACCCAGACTTTATCTTTACCCCACTTTACCCTCGGGATGGGTGGGCAGCGCTCAGTTTAAAAGGTGTTTCTATGGCAGTCAGGTGACTGTCAGCTGCTGAATATCAGACGTGTCCAAAGGAGATATTTGACACGTGTTTGCTTGCAAAGAATTACATACTATTGGTGGAATAAAGTGGCCCCTATGACCACTCACAAAATTCCCCTAGTCCTATCATGTCTCCCAGCCTTGGGCCTGGAGAGCTGTGAGGGGCTTGAGAGGTCGCTCTCTCCACTCCTCACTTTTCCCAGTGCAGAGCTGTGCTCAGTTCACTCTTTCTGTGGCTCCCACCACCTACGCAGACAAACTCTACAGCAGGGGTGAGCGACCTGCAGCCCACTGAGGTGCTATGAGAAGCTCATTAGACATTTTGTTTTCCTTTGCCCACCATCAAGGTTGCCAGATTGTGTTGAGCTATGTCCTGAGGTGGGGATGCTCTTGGTTACAACAATGTGGCAGCCCACATAGAGAGAGGAGGCCACTCACATGGCCCCATTCACTAGCCCAAGGAGTTTGGGACACTAGTAACATAAACACTAAAAGCTTCACTCTTGTAGGGCCACAGTCTGTCCTGCTGCCCATGTGGCAGCTCCTGAGCCACCAAAGGCAGCTGGTCAGTGATTTTATCCCCTCAGCCCAGAGTTCTGCCCTTTTCTCTGCCTTTGCCTGCCCCACACAGGCAATCCCAGTGTCTCTCAGCAAGGGATAGGCCTAAACCCTGTGCTGGGAGAGGTGTCAGCAGGGATTAGCCAATGGTCCCAGAGGCCTCAGGGCAGCAGCCCAGTCTCTGCTTCTCTGATACCCAGATGAATTGCCAGTCACTGAAATGAAGTGCTGGAGACAAACCTTGACCCCATCAGTCGGTGTCTGAGCCATTCCCCCTCCCCAGTATGTAACAGTGTCTCGCTGGGTCCCCCAGCACAGGAGGAGGGGATCGGCTGATGTCTCTAGGGTATTTGGTGTCGCCAGCTGGCCCATGCTGAGTGCGGGGCACTGGCACTGCAATGGGAGTAGTAACCAGCCCTACCAGTGCCAGGCAGTGCAGCTCCTCAGTCCAGTTGCTCTCACAGTGTTGTAGCTCTTCACTGGGCACAGCCATTTCCTTGTGAACAGGGACCAAACCCTGTGAACAGCCATTTATGGTGTAAATGTTAAACATGAAAGTGAGGGTTCAGTGAGGATACTTTTAACTGTGGATCATGATGGATTCACCATCACTGGCACCATTTAATGCCAGAAGGGGTGTTTTTAAGGGATGAGCTAGTTCAAACAGGAATGTGTTACAGGTGTTCTCGGGCCTGTGTTACATGGCAGTCAGGCTGGATGATCACATTGGGGACTCTTTTGCCTTGGAACCAGTGGGTTGGTCTAAAGCAAGGCTGGGAACAGGCTGCCCAGGTAGATGGGTACGTGGAAGCTTTACCAGCCATTCTGCTGTGTCGTTCATTTGTCTGTCCCAGAGAAGAACCCAGTAGCAAATTTTGTTCTCCAGGTCAATACAAAGGGACGCACAAACTCCTTATGACAAAGGGTGTCATAAAGAGGAGGGAGAAAACTTGTTCATCTTGGCCTCTGAGGATAGAACAAGAAGCGATGGGCTTAAACTGCAGCAAGGGAGGTTTAGGTTGGACATAAGGAAAAAATTCCTAACTGTCAGGGTAGTCAAACACTGGAATAAATTGCCCAGGGAAGTTGTGGAATCCCCATCTCTGGAGATATTTAAGAGTAGGTTAGATAAATGTCTATCAGGGATGGTCTACACAATATTTGGTCCTGCCATGGGGCAGGAGACTGGACTCGATGACCTCTCGAGGTCCCTTCCAGTACCAGTATTCTATGATTAACTCTTCCCTTAAGCTTGTTCTGGGGAGTCCCTGGACTCTATGACTATGAGGTGTGTCCATGCGCAGTTAACCCTTTGGAGCATGTTAACTCTCGGAAGCACAGCAGAAATACAAGCTCTTTCATTAACATGAACAGCACTGGAACTGGAGAAGAGCCTTTATAAAGTAGAAGATCATCGCCAAATGCAGAGTATTCCCGTTCACAAAACTCTTTCATGGGATGTTTGTGGCCAATGGGATAGAAGCAGATTAGCATAAAGGAGGAGCTTAGCTGCTCCAAACTCATGAAGACTGATATAAGGGCCAGGAACTCTACAGCACAGTCAGCGTGACCAGTCTCTCCCAACGCCAGCAGGCAGCTCTCGGAGGGGACAGTCACCCTGTCTGGCAGAGCTCTGAGGGCCTGAGATCTCCTCACCATGCTCTGGGCTCCCCTCATTGTCCTGCTGGGGACGTGCTGCACAGGTGAGCACAGGGAGGGCAGGTTAAATACCCATTGAAGTTATTGCTGAATCCCGAGACAAAAACTGACTCACTAGTGGCTGGGGAAGGACAAGGAGACTGTAACAGATTTTTACCATTTTTCCCAGGTTCCAGCTCCCAGAATGTGCTGACTCAGCCACCCTCAGCATCAATGTCCCCAGGAAACACCGTGAAACTCTCCTGTGCCATGAGCAGTGGGACCAGCATCAGAGGTTAAAATTTATTTTGTACCAGCAGAAACCGGGGAATTCCCCACAATATCTGCTGAGATACAAGTCAGATTCTGGCAAACACCAGGGCTCCGGAGTCCCTGCCCAGTTTTCTGGTTCCAAGGACACATCCAGCAACTCCGGCTATTTGACCATTTTTGGGTCCCTGGTGGAGGATGAGGCTGACTATTACTGTGCTGTGTAGCACAGCAGTGCTTGTCACAGGGTATGTCTACATTACCCCGCTAGTTCGAACTAGCGGGGTAATGTAGACATACCCTGTGACAAGCACTGCTGTGCTACACAGCACAGTAATAGTCAGCCTCATCCTCCACCAGGGACCCAAAAATGGTCAAATAGCCGGAGTTGCTGGATGTGTCCTTGGAACCAGAAAACTGGGCAGGGACTCCGGAGCCCTGGTGTTTGCCAGAATCTGACTTGTATCTCAGCAGATATTGTGGGGAATTCCCCGGTTTCTGCTGGTACAAAATAAATTTTAACCTCTGATGCTGGTCCCACTGCTCATGGCACAGGAGAGTTTCACGGTGTTTCCTGGGGACATTGATGCTGAGGGTGGCTGAGTCAGCACATTCTGGGAGCTGGAACCTGGGAAAAATGGTAAAAATCTGTTACAGTCTCCTTGTCCTTCCCCAGCCACTAGTGAGTCAGTTTTTGTCTCGGGATTCAGCAATAACTTCAATGGGTATTTAACCTGCCCTCCCTGTGCTCACCTGTGCAGCACGTCCCTGTCAGACGGGGAGAAATTCCTCGTCCTTCAGGGCTGTGAGGGGAAGTGAACACCTTGCACAGTACAGTTCTCTTCCTGCCCCCTGTCACACGTCATACAAACAGTTGGTCTTTCAGATAAATTTAACCTCTTCACACCTGGAAGGTGACCTCAAGGCCAGTTTACGTCATTGTCTCTCTAGGCCTATACCGAATGCCCCAGGTTCCTGGTGCAATGCTGAGGTCAGAATCCCATTTTTAGAAAAATCTCTCTCACCGTGCTGATGTAATAGAAACCTGAGCAATGTGATCTGCATGTAACAGAGCCTGCCTGAATGAGCAGAGAGCCTGGAACAACAAAGACAGTAGGGCTGTGTCTACACTGGGCCACTTATTCCGGAAAATCAGCCGCTTTTCTGGAATAAACTGTGAGCTGTCTACACTGGCCCTTGAATTTCCGGAAAAGCAACGATGCTCTATTGTACAAAATCAGCCGCTATTCCGGAAAAGCTGGTCTTTTGGGCAAATTTCACCTCCTCACACCTGGAATGTGGCCTCAAAGTCAGTCACTGTCTCTCTAGGCCTCTGCCGAGGGTCCCAGGTTCCTGGTACAATGCTGAAGTCAGAATCTCATCTTTAGAAAAATCTCTCTCACCGTCATGATGTAATAAAGCACTGAGCACTGTGATCTGGGTGTAACAGAGCCTGCCTGAATGAGCAGAGAGCCTGAAACAACAATGAGAGGAGGTGTGAACCCCCTTAGCCATCTCTGCAGCTCCCCAATAGCACCCCCAGCAGTTTGAGGGCAGAGTTACTGAGGCTGTTCCCCCCCTACCCCCCCAGTGGTCTGAGGAGCCCTTTACTGATGCTGTCCCAATAAGGGTCTAATGGGAATGGTCAACAGGCAACCCCACAGTGATCCCTCTGCCTGGCTGGGTGAGCACTAGCCCTCCTGCTGCAGGGACAGAGTGCTGGTGACAGGTGCACTGGGCCAGAGAGCTGGGACTCCCATTCTACACCGGATGGAATCCACTTGCTGTGCTCCCTCATGGGTTGGTGGCCCTGGCCCTGACAAGGTGAGGAGCAGCAGGGCTGCACTTTGGGGGTGGGTCCATCATATAGTGGGTAGATACAGTAGTTTGCTCAAGGCCTCAGATTGCCTGTCTCTGAAAGGGACAGAGACAGCCCTTTATGGCCCTTGCCCCCCTCAGACTGTCACCGCTGCAGTTCAGCTGAACCATCTCGGCCCTTCCCCTAGCGCATTCTCTCTTGGGCGATGGAGCTGGGTGGATCAGACTGTAAGGGAATCGGAGCCCTGGCTGAGCACCCACAGGAATCTCTAGCGGAATGTCAGGATCCACCCATCTGCTCTCCCTGGAGTTTTCACAACTGCTGCAATTCTCTCTTCATAGTCACACCTGCTGGGCGGAGGAGAATTGGGTGAAGCAGCAGCCCCAGTTAAGCCTCATACAACATCCCCCTTTACATGTGCACAGTTCACTGGTCTCCAACCGTCAAAGCTGCCTACTCCTCGCTGTCCAGCTGGGCTCTGACACAGGGTCTCTCAAGCTGTTCTTCCTAGTGAGTGGGAGCAATTTGTCAGCCTGGGAAGAAGTGTTTGTGTCAGGTGTGGGCTCTACAGGGCCGGGGAACCGCAGGAGAGTTGCTGTCTGCCCAGGCTCTGACCAGAGTCAGTTCTAGAAGCAGCGTTGTGTCCTGTCACCCTGGCAAAGTGCTGGGCTGAGATTCCTGGGAGAACCAGGAAATAAAACTTCTCAGCATAGACCCAGACTCCATAGCACTGATTGCCCCTCTGCCAGGGAGCCAGCAGGCAGAGGCCAAATGCAGCGTTCGGAGGAGTCAGCCAGCAGGGTCTAAGCGTCTGTGAAAGGCGGCAAGGACTGGCCAGAGCAACACCAACACTGACCAGCAGGGGGAGCCCTCCCCTGTCCAGCACTGGCGCTGGGAGTCCAGCAGTGCACAAGTGTCAGGGGGCCCAGCACTGGGCTGGAGACGTCTCTGGGCTTTGGGGCTTTTCACCCCCCACCAGCTTTCACTATGGTCATGTGACCTCAGAGCACTGTGTGCGTTGGAGTCCCCCTCCCCACGCGCCCCACTCCCCTCTCTGCGCCTCTCTGGGGCAGGGCTGTTCACACTGGCACCCTGCTTGCTGGGGCTGGATGGGCACCACGAGTTCATCAAAACCCAACCCAACAGGAGGGAAATAAGGGGAGAGGAGCAGAAATTCTCCCCCTCCTTCTGCTGACACATCCCCCTCCCCAAGCGCACACCCTGGCCTTGAGCAGGGAGCAGTCACTGAACGCTGTCAGAGCTGCGTTGGGCATCAGCCCCCACATGGCTCACAGCATCTGTGGCGTGTTCCTCCCCATCTCTGGGTGTGCGTCTCTGGAGCAGCAGGCAGCGCAGGAGGG